GGGCTTGTTTAATTGGATTACTTCTTCTCCATGTATATCTTTTATTATCAGGATTCTGTTCCCTATAAACATCAACCATTCCTAACTCTTCAATTATTTGTAAGATATTTTCTCTAGCTTTTGGGTTATTGATATTTTTATAGCTTTTATCATAATCAATTTCAGGGTTTAATACTAAGTTAAAATCTCCACATATTATAAAACATTCATTTTTAAAAGTATCTATTGATTCTACTATGTTGTCATAAAAAGATGGAGTATCTGAATTTGGCCCATAGATATTTATAAGTGTAATTTGTTTCCCTTCTATTTCTAAATCTAATGCTATGAAATTCCCAGTCAAATCCTTTTTAACCTTTAAAACCTTCACCTCAAAATTATTGGAATTGTTTATATGAATATTCTTGAAACAGTAAAAGGATAATAAGACCAGGTGTTCCGCAAGGGTAAGCGTCTTCATCGACGACACCCGCCATCTTATTATAGATCCAACTCGTGTAAAGTCACGTCCTCTCATCAGAACTCACGAATTGACAGTAACACCACAAGGCACACTTATGAACATTATCAAAACCATCGGCCTTCATATCATACAAACAAAATGGCAAATATGTCCCTAGATCATAGCGCCGTCCATAAACACTGCCCATAGTCATTATATACCTGAATCTTCGTTATACGTTTGTCCATTAGCAGTTGACATCTATCACAGAGTCATGGTAGTTGTACAAAGTAGCTAGGTCTTAAATACCAAACTAACTGCAACAAGTAAACACTTCAGGTAGAGGAAACACGAATGTTACTGTACTATCGAGATAACGATTTGTTTTTACTTTTGATATGTTTTTCACAAAATATACTACAAAATAATTTACAAACATATATATAAATCGCTGTTTGCCTTATTTGAAAAAGAAAAATCTCAAAATCAGATAACGCAGACTTTCCCTCAGTTTTGTATGACGTATGTTAGTATAATGGGCGAAAAAAGTCAACAGTTTTGATAGAACACGGTTTTGATAAGAGGGTTTTTAAGAGGATTCAAAGAATCTTTTCAATTCTTATCCACTTCCTGAATTTACAATGTGATCATAATCTGCAACCCTAATTTTGCGGTAGTAAGAATGGCAGTGAGAAGATTGGATAATGGGTTGGTTAACAACTAAAGCCTAAACATTGAAAATCGCTAATATTCCAAAACCATATGTATATTATTTATTCTTTAGACACGTTTAACAACAAAGACAGAGATAGTTTTTACTCTGAACAAGTAAATCTACACTTTTCCTCCTACTCATAACAATTGCATGCTATCACGTCAACAATGCATGGCGCCAGTATCATCGTCATCCCATTATAGATATAAATGACAAATGAGGAGAAATAACATCAATCACTCGCTTAACGTGAATAGGGAATCTGTCCCCTGGGGAAAAGATTCCACTATATCACCCTTAATGGGATAAAAGATTCTATGAATACTATCCGATTCATTAGAAACATTAAGTTTGATAACTACCTGGCCGTTTCTGAAAGCGATAGAACAACTTAAACAAAGACGACGTTTCATAAGTGCTATTAGTGTAATACAAGTTAAAAGGTTTATATTTGTATAAAAACCAAGGATTTGATCAACATCGCATTATTTAATGTAAAAGTTCTTCAAGCAGTAATCTGAATCATTTACAAATAATGGCCTAGTAATTGTACAGTCATGTGTGTTGGACAATACACACTAACCATTAGGTCAATAATATAAAATCATCGTTAACTAATGAATGAGACAATAGCAATAAATTGTATTAAAAGGAATACACTGTCAGAAATACAGTCATATCAGAACGTGAGTTCGTCACCTCTCACTTATATATAAATTACTCTCTTTCTACTTCTCTTCATTGCTGTAAATAATGGATAATCTCATTTGCCTGTTGATAACGATGTGCAGTGTAAATATTGCAAGTACTGCTACAATAGAAACCACGAAACTGCTGTTTCAGGACTTGTTCTCAAATTACTCTAAACATGTTCTTCCTGTTATTGACCAATCTAAACCAGTTAGTGTTAACATGGACCTATCTGTTGTGTCCATTAACGACTTTGATGAAGTAACAGGAACGTTAACGATAGTCGCCATCTTGAATGTTTCTTGGAATGACGAAAGTTTGGTGTGGGATTCTGTTTTATATGGGAATACGACGACCCTAACTTTTAATCAGGATTTAATTTGGCTACCAGAAATGGTTCTTCTTAATCCTGCTGACTCTGTTGAGCCAATTGGCAATGCTCGTTTCAAAGTGACGGTCACATCTACTGGCGGGGTTGTTTGGGCGACAGGCGGACTTTTGAAGGCAGCATGTACAGCAGATGTTTCCCGATTTCCATTTGACCAACAGAACTGTACAATTAGCATAAGTCCATGGGGCTACTCTTCATCACAGGTAACGTTGACAGTACCGTCACGTACGATAGACTTCGGCTTTTATTGTGTTAACGGTGAATGGGATGTGACAGGATCAAGAACAATGCAGTTGTCAAATACTTTTGACATTGCAAAGTACACTATTACTATCAAGAGACGCCATACTAGTTTTTTGGTGAGTGTTGTGATACCAATCATCATGTTAGCCTTTGTGAACCCGTTCGTGTTTATTCTACCATTTGATTCAGGAGAGCGGGTGTCGTACAGTATCACAGTGTTACTGGCCTTCAGTGTGTATATGACGGTGGTAAGTGACCGGATGCCAGCGTCCTCTCAACCCATGTCTATTTTGGCATACTACTTACTGTTCACGCTTTCAATTAGTGTTCTCATTGTAATTGTGAACATATTTCAAATCAGAACATATGGTAAAGACAATGCCCACCAGCCCATTCCACAATGTATAAGCAGGACTGTATTGTTCCTTCAGATGATTTACAGGAGTAAGAAGATTGAAACTAAACGCAATCACTTGTTTCCACAAGAGAATGGCGATATCAAAGCAGGTAAAGATGTATCTGGTGAAAATAACCTTCAACTGGAGGACCTTGGAGGATCGCCGATCAGTAGTGGTGAACCATTACACGAGAATGCAGTGCAGAAAGGGGAAATTAAGGCCACAAGCGATCAACAGGGATGCACTTGGTATAAGGTAGCAAAGATGGCGGATGTGGTATACTTTGGCTTATTCTCGTTTGTGACAGTCGTAGTAACTTTTGTATTTTTCATCATAACTACGTGATAACTTAACTCAACTTTTACAGCATTTTAGATGGCAATGAAAAGTGATATTTTTTCTCTTGTTTACCACTCAAACAAAAGCAATTACTTCATAACAATAATTTTTATGATTGTTTTTATACGCATTTACTGTTTTCAGAAAGTAATCAATTTCTGCAAGTAACGCCTCTTGGTGTATGTCAAAATTTAAAAGGCAGTCATTTGTTGTGAAAAATACCTTCTTTTCATCTGCAAATAAGAAGCAACGTCGGCCATCTTGAAACCGAAAACTGAAAATTCGGTTTAGCCCATTCTCATTAAGTATGTACAACGTCATCAATTTAGAACTCTATTAATGAACGATATTGTATCAGCCAATCAGCAGTAACGACTTCCCTCTTGGATATTGGAACGAAAGTGAGTTGTAAATATATACAGAACATACCAATCAATACTCGCATGGAGTTTAATAAACCATCGGGCCAACAACACCAGAGAAAACGCATTGGAACATTCTGGCCTACTATAGAACAACAAACAGCGTGACATACATCTTCTGATTATTTCAATTGATCAGTGTTTTGCTCGTGCAATTTGTTATCACCTAATGTCACATGTTTATTTCGCCATCAATGCGTTGTCGCAATTGCTGGACGTTTCGCCCGTTTTCATGTTGTTTAAGTTTAACATGGATGTGTGTGCAAACGTTAAGATACGTTTAAGTTCAAGTCACAAAAGGGTTGCTTGTTTACACTTGCAGTAAAGGGGTGGGATGGGTTTAGAAAACCGTTTCACGTTCACGGATGGTTGTTATGGAAATTATTAGCCAATTTAATGTTTTACAACATCGCCGACGTGGTGGAATATAAATGACGCAACAAATGTTTTTAAACGTTTCTCATCTGTCTGACCTACTCGCTCATTAATGAGTGTGGCTGTCGTATACATACCATTACACGTGTAAATAAAGACATAACCACATACTGGTCAATCATAAAAAGATAAACTGATTTTGTTTTTAGCTTCGGGTATGAATATGCATCACCATTATGCACGTCAAATAATAATGATAAAACCCCCAAACAAACAATCAAGCAAATAAAACACTTAAAGAATAAAATACTTAGAAATAAACCTGAAACCGTCTACCATTGATAGTGTTACAAATAATTAGGGTTAATTTATATGTATGTCCATTGTTTTTGACTTGTCCTATTTAAATGTAATTAAAGCATATTAGCTTAAAAAATACCACGTACTCTGATTTGTGAAATACGCACATTGGTTATTGATTCCGCTCTCTTAAATGTATCTCATCTTCACTCATTGAGTTGGTCTTGCAAAATCGAGGGCTACAGTTGTATCCTTCATTTTTGTCAACCTAACCTTGGGGGTTGGGAACTGAGAAAAGAATGAACCGCTATAACCCACTGCATGCTATTAGAGGCACCTAATCTGTGAACCCCTTGCAGAATTAGGAATTTCCTTTTGTTCCCTCTACTCGGGGAACACAAAAGTCATCAAAGTAAATTTGATGTAGCGTTGCAAAATTGGGATCTTAATATTTTATATGTGGCCGTGTATGACCTTATTATGTTTATTGACCGTTAAGTCTACAGTGTGGCAATGTATGTCGTAACTGTGTTAATGAGTCGGTAAGTCTTCAGGGCTTACCTGTTTGGCGTTATTGTGCTACGAACAGTTACTGTATGAACTGGATGTATTTAGATTGTCGAGAAGCTTAAGAGCACGTTGTTGCCTTAGCTTGTGTGACCCTATTGAGTTGGTTGGCCGGTAATCGACCGTGTTGACCTGTATTGACTTATTTTGTTTACAGACCGTTGTTAAAACACCTTAATAAGTGGTTTGGGTCGTCGTTCAAATAACGTTGTTGTCCTGTATAATCTGGTGGTTTTGGTGGACCGTAAGGACTGTCGTGTTTTTTGTATATGACCTTCATGTACATGTGTGATTAGAAATACTGTATGGCCCTGCAATTTGATCTTTTGTGACCTTATTGTGTTGGTAGACCGTTGAAGACTTCATTGTAACTCTGTATTAATGACTCTACATTGTGTTAGTAGACAGTTGAAGACTACCTTGTAGCTCTGTATTAATGACTGTACATTGTGTTGGTAGGCTGTTGGAGACTACCTTGTAGCTATTTATTAATGACTGTACAATGTGTTGGTAGACAGTTGGAGACTACCCTGTAGCTCTGTATTAATGACTGTACATTGTGTTGGTAGACAGTTGGAGACTACCTTGTAGCTCTGTATTAATGACTGTATATTGTGTTGGTAGACTGTTGGAGACTACCTTGTAGCTCTGTATTAATGACTGTATATTGTGTTGGTAGACTGTTGGAGACTACCTTGTAGCTCTGTATTAATGACTGTATATTGTGTTGGTAGACTGTTGGAGACTACCTTGTAGCTCTGTATTAATGACTGTATATTGTGTTGGTAGACTGTTGGAGACTACCTTGTAGCTCTGTATTAATGACTGTATATTGTGTTGGTAGACTGTTGGAGACTACCTTGTAGCTCTGTATTAATGACTGTATATTGTGTTGGTAGACTGTTGGAGACTACCTTGTAGCTCTGTATTAATGACTGTACATTGTGTTGGTAGACAGTTGGAGACTACCTTGTAGCTCTGTATTAATGACTGTACATTGTGTTGGTAGACAGTTGGAGACTACCTTGTAGCTCTGTATTAATGACTGTACATTGTGTTGGTAGACAGTTGGAGACTACCTTGTAGCTCTGTATTAATGACTGTACATTGTGTTGGTAGACAGTTGGAGACTACCTTGTAGCTCTGTATTAATGACTGTACATTGTGTTGGTAGACAGTTGGAGACTACCTTGTAGCTCTGTATTAATGACTGTACATTGTGTTGGTAGACAGTTGGAGACTACCTTGTAGCTCTGTATTAATGACTGTACATTGTGTTGGTAGACAGTTGGAGACTACCTTGTAGCTCTGTATTAATGACTGTACATTGTGTTGGTAGACAGTTGGAGACTACCTTGTAGCTCTGTATTAATGACTGTACATTGTGTTGGTAGACAGTTGGAGACTACCTTGTAGCTCTGTATTAATGACTGTACATTGTGTTGGTAGACAGTTGGAGACTACCTTGTAGCTCTGTATTAATGACTGTACATTGTGTTGGTAGACAGTTGGAGACTACCTTGTAGCTCTGTATTAATGACTGTACATTGTGTTGGTAGACAGTTGGAGACTACCTTGTAGCTCTGTATTAATGACTGTATATTGTGTTGGTAGACTGTTGGAGACTACCTTGTAGCTCTGTATTAATGAGTGTACATTGTGTTGGTAGGCTGTTGGAGACTACCTTGTAGCTCAGTATTAATGACTGTATATTGTGTTGGTAGACTGTTTGAGACTACCTTGTAGCTCTGTATTAATGACGGTAGACCTTTGAAGTCTACCATGTAGCTCGGTTTGACCCTATATTGAGTTTGTGAGCCGTTGAAGAATACCTTTTGGCCTATATCACTATATTAATTGTGTACTATATTGTGTTGGTGGATAATTGAAGACGACCTTGTAGCTCTGTATGTATGACCATATATTGTGTTGGTAAATCGTTGAATACTGCATTGTAGCTCTGTATGAGGGTATATTGTGTAGGTGGGCTGTTGAAGACCAACCTATATTGTGAAGGCGGGCCGTTGAAGACCTCCCTATATTGTGTAGGCGGGCCGTTGAAGACCACCCTAAAAAATGTATATTGTGTTGGTGGACCATTAAATACACTAGCCTATATTGTGTTGGTGGGCCATTAAAGACTACCATATAGTGTGTTGGTTTACCGTTAGTACCACCTTGTACATTGTAGCTCTGTATTACCCTAAATTGTGTTGATGGACCATTAAGGACTACTCTATAATGTGTTGGTGGACTGTTGCAGACTACCTCGCAGCTCTGTATGTTTGACCCTATATTGTGTTGGTGGAAAGTTATCAAATTCAAGTGTTCGTACATTGCGGAGTAAGGGAGGCTAACCGTCCATGTCATCTGATCATTTGAATTGTTAAATGAGTAAAGACAATATTATGTTTTTTACATTATGAACGGATTTCCTTAAGGATTTTAGAAGGAAAAGATGATAAAGAAATATAAATGAAAATATAATATAGCGTCAACACTACAATAATGAGATGCTTTACAGTGACTAAGTATGAGTCATTTATCGTATTGTGATTAGACCAACTAATCAAAATATTAAAACCGAGTCTCAACAGGCCACAATAAAATCTTGCGCCAAATTGTCCACCAATCTTGTGTACTTCGTGACGTCACGTTACTATTGTATTGTGATGACATGTAATTGTGACGTCACGACGTTGTTCTTTTGAATAAACCTGAAGAGCCCTGTGAAGGGTGAAAGCAGCTAGATTTTTAGTCGGTCGTTAAATTTTATTTTTTCTATATTACTTCCTTCACATGGACATTTAATCACTTTTTATTATATATATATATATATATATATGGATTATAACATGCCCAGCGTTTTTGTTGTCCCGCCGTATTTATCTGGCTGTACATTACATATAAACAGTATATACGGATCATTTACAGGTAGCATTGACACGGGATCGTAGAAAATAACGTTCTACTCGATGAAAAACAAATTGAAACAAGTAATTTTTAAATTTTCAGTATGAGACGTTACGTTTAAAGTACATAAACGTCACGTTATCAATACACAATGCGAGTCACGACGTCAAAATTACATTATATACATGACAAGTTAACAGGGTAAGAGACAAATGAATTATTCACCCTTTTGATGTGAGATGGAAAATCTCAACCTCCGGGAAAGTTTCTTTTATTTCATTCCCAAGGGCGTGTAAATTCTATTACTGACATCCGTTTCATTACAAAACAATTTGTGGGATAACAATCCATCCTTTTTTCGACAGCGGCTGAACACTTCAAACACAATCGAGCTATATTTTCATTAGCGTCATCAATTTGATAAAGCTC